TGCTGCAAGACGACATCGAAACGAAAACGGCCCACGGAGTCGCCAAAACACCGTCTAGGTCCACCCCTGCCCTGGGTCTGGCGCGTGGGCACCAGATCCCCGTTCCGGGAAAGTGCAGGCCTGATCTGGGGCTGGAGCGCGTGGGTTTCGCATGGGGACGTGACCCATCGCCACCCGTCCACGCCCGTGGCGCACTTCCCCGAACAGGTGGCGGGGCGGCACCGACAGAACCTCCCAAAAACACCCCAGGGATCAAACAGAGGATGCTCAAAAACGGGCGCTCAAGAGCCGACCCGAGGCGAGCAAGACAGCCAAACCCTCACAAGGCCACACGAACGCCCCCAATAGATCAAACAAGAGGAGCCCAAGAAAGAACGCATTGACCAACCGGCCATGCTGCACAACGTAATGCAGAGGCCAGCCTGCAGGCCACACTGCAGGAATGGTCGAGCAGAAAAGGCCGTCGGATGTGGCGGAAGCCTTGCGAACCCTTTCGGAAACACAAGCAGATGAACTCGCCGTGCGTTCGCCTTCTTCCTCCTCCGACAGGACAGAGTCACTGTAGCAGCTCTCGGAAGCTACAGACAGGGCATCTTCTGCGTCGTTACCGTGCACCTCCTCTTCGTCTTCGGTGGGAGTGCGCGCATTGGACCACCGCACCTTTGCCTGCAAGGAGAAATGGAATCGATCGCCTGAATCTAAAAAACCAGATTTAATAAGTCCATAATATTGGCCGACCATCTGCAAAGGCGAATGAAGAAGACCCGCCTCCGCGCCGCAGGCGCTGAATAGTGACCGGTAAAGGCCCAACGCGCCCGAAAAGTGCCCCAGCATGACACGCGAGAAAACGCCCCGGTATGCAACAAAGCACGCTGATGTCCCTCATGCTGTTAGGTACACTTGTGCGTATCTAACACGGCCCAAGAGGCCCCCGATGTCGCTCCAGGACGGCACAGTACGCCCCTGGGAAGACCTCGAGACCTCGAGACGGCCCAAGAGGGCCCAGGTGTTCCGACGCTGGCCTCACCGAGAAAAGCACACACGTCCGAGCGATGCCACTACTGAAAAGGCTCCCAAGAGGCTGCCCCCACTAGGCATCGCTCGGAAGTCCATTCCCTGTGTTTTTGTTCGGTTTCGTGCGTGGATTTTTCGCCAAATGGTCAAGGATGCTCCTCGATGGTCCTCGCCGAAGGAAAAATGCACACGTCCGAGCGATGCCAGGCCCAAGGCATCCAAAAGACCTCCGGCAAGTCCCGCAAAAGACGCGGAAGGAAATGGGAACAGACCAGAAACAAATTCACACTAGCAACATGACGGGGCGCGGCGAACACACACGAGATCGGCAGCCGCGCATCCGTCATGGGGGTCGGCAGGATTGCATAACCCTCCTGCATAATGACCAGGCGCCGCATTCATGCGAACATGAGCTTTGGCGTGGATGCTCACATGCGTCCATTTCAGCTTCCGCTCCACCTCCGTGCCACCCTTTCGCCTGAAAGGGCGATCTCCGATATAATCCTTGCCGCTATAACCAACTTTGTGCGCGTATGTCAGCAGCTCGTCAAGACCATGGTTCCACAACCATGCGCACCTGTCGCTGTGACGGTTATCTTCCGTCGATGGGAAGCCTTCCTCGGGAAATAGAATCATGAGAACCATGTGCGGAGGGTGCGCCCGTGTGCCGTCCGGGCGCCTTGCCGGACTTGCCAGGCTCATCATTCGCGATGCGACCCCGAAGTGCTTGAGAATCGAGGCGAAAACGATCGAAAACGCCTGGCAGTTCCCCTGGCCGCTCCGCCAGATCGCTCCCGCCCCGGCGGCGCCGCCGTTCAGCTCTGGCGGGAGCTCGCCGCTCCTCGTGTAGCGGAGCCGCTGTCTGATGATGCTGGAGATCACAAATAGGTGTCGGATTGGATCCTCGAAGAAGTTGGCGTTGCGGTCCTTCACGTTTTCACCAGATGGTAAGCTCAATCCTTCCAGCCCGACTGGGAGAAACGCCTGTACGAGCGTGTTCATATCCTCCCCACGAACCAGCCTTTCACCTCCATAATCGAATCCACGCCCGAAACCAACCTGATCTTTGCTGGTCACCTCAAACTTCTTCCGTTTGTCTACCATTGCTCGTGGAGGGAACTTGCCGTGGACAACTCAGACTAGGCGATTGGTCCCAAATGGCTCGAGTCATCAAGATGATGAGGACGATGATCCTGCCGACCATCATGATAGAGGTATAACAGTAAGTTTGATGCTGCGAGTGATGAATGATGTTGCGTAGTGGCGATGACTACAAGGACGATCGTGCTCATCGAGATTATGCCAAAATACGTCGCGGCGTCGTGATATCAGAACGTCGTGGTACCGTGGTGACATGGTCTGTGTTGTTGCGGTGTCGCGGGTGTCGAGGTGTGCCGAGGGTGACGGCAATGACAACGGCGATGACAAGAAGGGTGACCAGAGACTAGCTTGCGAAGTGTCACGCGCTGGTCGAGAGATCTGCAACGCCGGCCTGACCTCTAAACAACTGCAGAGATGCTGCAGGATGAATACGTTCACCCGACGCTGCTGCTCGCCTTTCATTCGCTTCCACATTCTGCCCCTCCCACTCCTTCTGTGACTACCTACCAGACCACCCCAACCCAACACGAAGACCTGAATTTCGGGTTGGGGGGGTACGGGTTGCATATGTGTTGTTGTAATGTTCCCCGACCCCCCCCACACCGGAAATGGAGGGCACATTGGGGCCCTCGGGTAGGGTCGGGGTGGCTTGGTGGGTGGTGAATCTGAGCATTGGCACAGGGTGGGGTGGGGGAACAGACGGGGGGGGGGAGGGAGAAGCGTGCACCTTGCCAGCACCCTCTGGGCACGCGGTGGCAATTCGGGGAGGCCGCTCGGGGCCCCATTCAGGCCCGCCCTCCTGTAGTCCCAGGTCCACCCCCGTTTATTGCCCCATGCTACCAAGCGCCCAGTCCTGCAGCTAACCCCCCTCGCCCTACACGATCCGATCGCCGAGAGACGCGGTTCGAGCGCACGCTGACATGGATTGGGGATCCACCTGGCGCATGGGCGGCAGATCCACGGATTGAGGCCAGTGCCGCCTCATCACGCGACGGAGCGTGTGGATTCGTTGTGTGGAAGTGGGACCAGTCGCTAATCCGCGCGCCCCAATCCATGTCTTGGGACGCCCAGAGTGGGTACTGGAAAAAGTGGTACAGGGAAAAGTGAGCACGATGCCCACCAGCAAACGTCGTCCACCACCGACCGCGCTCGCTGTTGGGCGGGCGGCTTGTCTGCCCAAGGGTGCCAAGGCCCGCGGCGACACGGGCGGCGAGCTCGGCTCAAAACGGACAAGAGACATGCTGCTAGCCTTCGCCCCCAGCATCTCCGTACCCGTGTCGGCCCTCCAGAGCTGTGTGCGCTTCCTCGGCGGACGCCCAGCGGGCTGGGGCGCAGGGCGCAGACCGAGCGCGCGGGGGAGGGCGCGCCCACTCCGCAGCGCGCCCTCCCCAGCGGACGGAGGAAGAGAGGCCAGGGCGGAGGAGGCAGCTCCGCGGGCACCTGCCGAGGAGGTGCGGGGCCGAGGCCTGGAGGACCCCTGCCAGCGAAGGAAGGCCGCGCGCAGCAGCAGCGAGCGAGGCGCGCGCGAGCCAACCACCTTCAACGCTCCTCCTGCCACTCCTCCTCCTCCTCCTCCTTCTCCTCCTCCTGTTGTTGTTGTTAGTAGCATTAATAATATCAGTCTTCTTGTATTCGTGTTGTAGTATTCATCGTATTCTTCGGATTCGTAGTAATGTTTTCGTATGATTCGTATTATTCGTAGTGTTGATATGGTTCGTAGTATTCGTATTGTGTTCTTATTGTTCGTAGGCTTACTATTGTAGTAGCCTTATTATTATGGTTCGAAGTGTTATCTGTGTAGTAGTAGTCAGCGTGTTATTCGTATGTGTCTTTCGCTTCACCTTCCTCTTCCTCCTCCGCCTCCTCCTCCGCCTCCTATCATTATTACGCCCCTCATGTCTTCTTAGTCGGATTCTTCATTGCATGAATAATAGTAATATCATTCGTCTTATTATTAAAAGTAGTATAATGCTTAGTCTTACTCGTAGTCGTCTCACCATTATTCTTAGTACGATTCTGATTCTTATAAGTCGTAATATGATTGATCTTATTACATTAGTAATGTTACTCTTATTATTACGATCATGTTTAGCAGTATTGATTTTCTCATGATAATTACTAATAATATTCATCTCAGTATTAGTGCGATTCACTATATTTAGTATTAGTATCACTCGTAAGAGTAGCATTACTCTTAATGATAGTAGTCGTAGTAATATTCTTATGCGTCTGAGTAGTAGTATCAGTATTATTCTTCTACTAGCAATTAGTATTATTTGTCCTCCTCCTCCACCTCCTCCTCCCTCCCTCACTCTTTCCCTCCCTCCCTCCCTACCTCCCCTCCCTCCCTCCCTCCTTCCCTACCTCTCCCCCTCCTCCTCCCCTTTCCCCTCCCCCTCCCCTCCCCCTCCCCCCCGCCCCCCCCTCCCCCTCTCCCCCCCACCCTCCCCCTCCCCTCCCCCTCCCTCTCCCTCCCCCTCCCCCTCCGCCTCCTCCTCCTCCTCCTCTCCTCCTCCTCCTCCTCCTCCTCCTCCTCTCCAACTCTCCTCCTCCTCCTCCTCCTCCTCCTCCTCCTCCTCCTCCTCCTCCTCCTCCTCCTCCTCCTCCTCTCCTCCTCCTCCGCCTCCGCCTCCGCCTCCGCCTCCGCCTCCGCCTCCGCCACCTCCTCCTCCTTCTCCTCCTCCGCCTCCGCCCTCCGCCTCCTCCTCCTCCACCTCCTCCTCCCTCCTCCTCCTCCTCCTCCTCCTCCTCCTCCCGCCTCCCCTCCTCCTCCCCTCCTCCTCCTCCTCCTCCTCCTCCTCCGCCTCCGCCTCCGCTCCTCCTCCTGCTCCTCCTCCTCCTCCTCCTCCTCCTCCTCCTCCTCCTCCTCCAATCCTTTTCCTCATAGATAACCTCTCCCGGTCGAACCCCGAGGCCAGTTTGTAGGGCGGGCCGGGCGTTTCGCCCGAGACTTCCTCACCATTTATGGCCCTGAAATTGAAAAAAGGCAACAGTTTCACAGATGCAGGCCGGGCCGTTTTCAAAATGTGGCTACCGCACTAGCGCCGCGCACAATCGCTTGAAAAAAATGCAAGGTTCCACGGATTGAGGGCGGGTGGTATTCAAAATGTGGCTCTCGCCTTAGCGCCTCGCACATTCGTTTTAATATCTACAGGAGTTTCACGGAGGGCAGGTGGTGTTCAAAATGTGGCTATCGCCTTAGCGCCTCGCACAGTATTTTGAAAAGTTGCAAGAAATTCACGGGTTGAGGGCGGCTCCTTTTGAAAATGTGGCTCTCGCCTTAGCGCCGCGCACAATCGTTTTGAACAATTGCAAGAACTTCACGGATTGAGGGCGGCTCCTTTTCAAAAGATTGCTCTCGCTTTAGCGCCGCGCACATTCGTTTTCAAATTTGCACGAGTTTCACGGATTCCCATGATCAGCGTACCAGAAATGGTGTGTTCGAAGGATTCGGGATTACGAGGGTGCAACAGTTACGGTGGTTCGCGGTGTTGAAGTCCAAAAAATAGCGTTCTGGCACGATTCAGCGTCGTCAATACGCAGCAGTCAGGTTGATCCGTGGCGGAATCCCGAGAACGATGTTTGGCATGCATCAGGGTCTTCAAACGGTTGTCGTCCAACGAGGCAGTTCCCTCAGTGGGAATGAACCCGTATAGGGGCCTATGAAGAAGGAGCTTGGAGGGAGGGTTTAGTCCAACATCATTGATGATTAACTATTGGGCTTGCACTGGTCCTTCTCCTTCTCCTCCTCCTCCTCCTCCTCCTCCTCCTCCTCCTCCTCCTCCTCCTCCTCCCCCTCCCCCTCCTCATGCTCCTAATCATGCTCTTAATCGTACTCCTACTGCCGCGTCATGCCTGCCTACCTGCCGCCTGCCTACCCGCCTGCCTCCTCCGCCTTCCTCCCCCTGCTTCTGCTCCTGCTCACCGTCGCCCTCCTCCTCCTCCACCCGCCGATTCATGCTTGCCTGCCTCCTCCACCTCATCCCCATCCTGCCTCCTCCGCCTATCTCCTCCAATGTGTTTCTCCTCCTCCTCCTCCTCCTCCTCCTCCTCCTCATTCGCCTCCGGCTCGTGCTTCATCGGCTCCTTCGCCTCCTGCTCATGCTCCAGTGGCGGGCCTCCGAGGCGACGGCGACGAAGGCGGTGGAGTAGACGGTCATCTCGCCCCCCGCCACCACAACGTTCTCCGTCTTGCTCAGCATGCCTGCGCGGGGGGAGGAGGAGGGGGGGGCAGCACGTAGAGTGCACAGGCTCGTACGAGAAAGCATCTTGCCATGAGGAACCTGAGGGTAAAGCCTCAGTGCACTCTGAGCTTCGTAAGGTGCTCCAGGGTTGTGTGGGCCCATCGGGGGACAAGACAGCATCGCGGGGAACCTGCAGCCCAAGTTCTTGATTGCTGAAACTACTGTCGGGAGGAGGGGAGCTGGCCTCCTCCTCTTCTTCCAACTCCTCCTCCTCCAACTCCTTCTCCTCCTGTTCATCCTCCTCCCCCCCACCTCGAAACAGAAGAAAAGCTGGAAGCGATGAACTTCCACATTCCACGAAAGTGAAGTGGCCAAGGCTGGGCCACAGCCAGGTTTCCCGGCTTTCCTCTCCATCGGTTGGAAGAAGAGGTTGGACTTCCGCCCGCCCCCTGAATGCGCCACCGTGCCTCCTGGGACGTCGAGGCGTGTTCGAACCCCGGGTGCTGCCCTGTAGGGCTGTCGTGCTCTATGAAGCCCCCCCTCTGGTCCCAGGGAGGCGCATGCATCCCCCCCATGCTCCCTCCCCCGATCCATGGACTTGGCGACCGCGCGCCAAGTCCACGGACCGCTAATCCATGTCTGCGCGCCCCCGACTCTCTGGGCACGCTCGACCTCCTCCTGTCCTCCTCTCCCCCCCTCGTTCCCCGCCGCCGCACGCCCCCTCTTCGGAGCCATCTTGGCTCGTCCGAGGCCACCATCCACCGCAGCAAAAAAACGATGGGCGGCCGCACGTGGCCTCAAGACGGCGCCCACGGTGCTTCCACTGAGGGCCCCACGGGGGCCCCGAGGGAACCTCCCGTGGGCTCCGAAGGATGTCCGCAGGCTCGCCCTATTTGGGCTTCTGTCGGCTCGAGACGGCCCAAGAAGCCTCCACCAGGGGGCCACATGCGAACCCTACCCCTACCCCCCACGATTTCTGAGGGAGAGGGTGGGGTTCACTTCGTTCGGGAGCTCCCAAGCGAAGTGAACCCGGCCCTGCGCGCGACTGGCCTGACTGCACCAGGCGCAGAACAAATGCAACACGCCGACATGCTTAACCCTGTTGATGGTCCTGCTTTGTGCCACCCGGCGTTGACTTCACCCGTTTCGATTCGCCCGTTTCGACTCACGCGTTTCGACCCACTCGTTAAAACGAATCAGGTTGTATCTTGCCAGCGGGTTTGCGTTCATCTGGTTTTACGTCGCCCACGAAAAAATGTTAGCCCAATTAGGGCTCGCCCGGATCACTATTCGCCCGTTCCAATTCGCCCGTTTTGATTTTCCCGGTACCGACTGGCCCGAATTAATTGTTTCTCCCTGAGTTTCACCCACAGTATAACTCACTCAGTTTTAATTCGCCCGAGCTTGCATTCAATATGATTGAAATTCGCCCGATGTGAACTCGCCAGGATCAAAGTCGCCCAGGTTTGAATTCGCCCAGGCTTGAACTCGCCCGTTTTGAATCGCCTGGCAGCGATTCGCCCGAAGGAGTTCATCTGCCTGAATCCGCTCCGCTTTGATGCGCTTGGACATGAATACATCTGCTTTCATTCGCCCGAGAATTTGAATTCATCCGATTTCAATTCGACCGCGTTTCAGTTCATCCGTTTCGATTCGCACGTGTTGATTTCCAGCGGGCGAACCAGAAGCGGATGAGACCAAAGCTGGCGAAGCAAAAGCAGGTAAAACAACAGCGGGCAAATCAAAAATTGATGAAACAGAAGCGGGCGAAATCAACGCAGTCGAATCAGAACAAAAAAGACCGACGCGAAAGGGAACAAAAGCTGGCGAATCAGAAGCAGATAAAACAACAGCGGGCGAATCAAAAATTGATGAAACAGAAGCGGGCGAAATCAACGCAGTCGAATCAGGACAAAAAAGACCGACGCGGAATACCGCGAAACGAAAACAACCGAAACGAAAAGGACCTCAAGTCCTTCTCTACAGTGGCCCAGAAGCCCACGGACCTGATTCCCAAGACTCGCGGGCGCTCTTGGGCGATCCTTGAGCCCGTCGCAAACTTTCCGCAAGGTGAGACTCTCACCAAGCAGCCATGAGTGCCGCGCCTAAAAACGCCCCAGCCCGCACGAATGAAAAGAGGATGAGCAAAAAGCAAGTGAAACCGAAACGGGTGAAAGAGAAGCGGATAAAACAACGGCCAGCAGACACCAACAGGCCCAAGAACGCCAGTGAAACCGAATGACACTGTCGTTCTTAATACAGAAAGCCCCCCGTCTCCTCGAAGACTCGCTGACGAAACCAGAAAAGACGAAACGAAGGCGGCGCGAACGAAAAACGACGAAACGAAAAAGAACGAAACGAACGAGCACGAAACGATGACAGCCGAAACTATACAGGGCCAAACGAGCGTGCACGAACTCAAAGAACACGAAACGAACGAGAGCAAAACCAAACAGAACCAAACGAACGGGGGCGCACCGAAGAAGAACGCAACGACACAGGAGGCAGCGGAATGCCGCGAAACAAAGACAACCGAAACGAGAGGATCCTCGAATCCCAACGAACTCTCTACAGTCATCACTGAAGATGGTCCTTGAAAGGCCAAGAAGCCCACGGCCCAGATTCCCCAAACTCGCGGGCGCTCTTGGGCGATCCTTGAATCCGTCGCAACCTCTCCCGAAAGAGAGACACCCCCAAAACGAGCATGAGCGCCTCAAGACGCCCCAGCCTGCGCGAACGAAAAGCGGGTGAGACAAAAGCGGACGAAATACATGAAGACGAATCGAAAGCTGATGAAACAAAACCAGATGAAACCAGATAAAACAAAAGCAGGCGAAGCTCAGAAAGATGGAACAGAGGCGGACGAAACAACCGCCAACCAACGCCAGCAGGCCCAACAACAAACATGAAACCGAATGACAACGTTTCCTTGGACGCAGAAAGCCATGCCGTCTCCTCGCGGACTCGGCGACGAAACAGCAGAGGATGAAACAAAAGATAACGAACCGAAAGACGACGAAACGAAAGCAGCGGCATTAATGACAACAAAACCGGTGACAAACAAAACCATGCATGGCCAAACGAACGTGCACGAAACGAAAGGCAACGAAACGAAACATCGAAATAGGACGACGCGACAAGGAACAAAACGAAAGAGAACCAAACGAAGTAGGAGGTCACGAAAGATCACGAAACGAGAGCAAACAAAACGAAAGGAACCCCAAAGCCCTTCGAAACCTATAGGCAGCACTGTAGCGTCCTCCGAACAGTCCGAGCAGCCCTGGAATGGGGCCAAACCGAGCGTCCTCCGAACATTTCTCCGAAGTCACGAAAGCTCGGAATCAAAACCGAGCGATGCAAAGACTATCGAATATGAAACACGCGCCAGCGTGATATCACCAAACATGTCCGTCAACCAGGCCAAGCGTTTCGCTTGGGCTTGGCACTTCTTGTCCATCGCGTGGAACAAACATACCGCCACACAGACGCGCGCGCTCAGATAAACAACAAGGTAAGGAAGAATTCTTCGAAACCATATCTGCAGGATGAGTAGGCTAGCTCCCTCAGAAGAAACAGGAGGAGCAAGGGAGAGAAAGACAAGGAGAATGGAGACTGGGCAGCGCAGTTGCCAAAAACGCCTGTCACACGCGCTGGCTGATGGAACCCTGTGGCAGACCCACCCATCGCTCCTAGCTTCGAGTCACCACCTCCGAATCGACCGAGCACAGCGTCGCCCGATGTAACTATTGCTATGTGCCCTAGTTCGCCCGAATATGATTTCGCCGAATTGAAATTCGTCAAACTTTCATTCGCCCGGTAACCGCAACCCGCGGATGATACATCATCCCCCTTTTCCTCTGTATCCGTTTATCCACGGGATTGAACGTGGTTAACTTGCCACTGCAGGCGTGGAGGCCGAACTTTTCTATCCCCTCAAAAGTTCCAATCGTAGCTCTCATCTTAATCTCACGCATGGCACCATGAATAATCCTGATTCTCACTGTTTGATGATATCTAAGGCAAAACGTATGCCTCAAAGATTTGCCGAACTCGCTACTATCAAAAATTCGAACATGTCTCGTCCCTTGCTCTCCTCCTCCTCCTCTTCCTCCTGTTGTTCCTGCTCCCGCTCCTCCTCCTGATCGTTTGTTGGTTTATCCTCCTCTGCTTCTCCCTCTCTTCTCTCCTCTGCCGTCCGCTCCTCCTTCCGTCATCTGCCCCTGGTCTGAACTTTGTTATCCCCAGACTTCTTTCATCAGAGAAAAACAACGACCATGAGTACTCACTCAACTACACGGCGAGTTGGAGATCACCACGACTAGTTGAGTTCTATACATAGAAATCGATAGGTCCGAGACTTTCAGTTTTCCTTCCGAGATCCTCCCCCTATTTCAAAGGGACTGTGATCACCCCACATCTCCGAAGAGGCTCCCGAGAGGGATCATCGCACCATTTCAACACAGTAATTCACAGGAGTGAGCTCTTCCCAGCTCTCCAAAGAGGCCGTCTAGAAGGATCATGAAGGCTCTTGGAGACCGATCTTGAAGACCGCTCCAAATATCTCAACATCGATATCTCCAGGAAAAAGATTATCACGTCTGGACCCCGAACTTGATTATCCCCAGGGGATTATTCTCATCAGGTGATGGTTATACATTCATCCAGTTCTAATTCGCCCTGGTTGCATTCATTTGGTTCTACCTCACCCAATGTACAATCATCTGGCTTGAATTCCCCCGGTTTCAGTCTTAACCCGCCCAGTTTCAGTTGTCTGGATGAAATCGCACACTTTAAACTCATCCGGTTCTAACTAGCCTGGCTTTGAATTCACCTGGCTTTAGTCTGCCCAATGTACTAAAGTCATTCGTTCTTTACTTGCCCAGTTTTACTTCGCCCGATTGTAATCCGCCCGGCTCGAATTCGCCTCATCTCGACCACAATGCAGTGACCGCGAAACACGCGAAGCGAAAGCGGGCGAAACCAAGGCGGCCGAAACACCAGTGAACAAAACAAAAGGCGGGCGAATCAAAAGCGAACGAAACGACAGCGGACGAAACAAAATGCGGATGAAACAAAATGCGGGCGAAACAAAAGCGGGCGAAACACGAGCGGGCGAAACAGAAGCAGACGAAACAAAAACAGCGAAATAGAAGCGGATGAAGAAAAAGCGGGCCAAAACTGCTCCGCTCTTCTGGCCCCCCTCTTGGGGCTCTGTTGGGCCATCTTGGCGACTGTTGGCGCCCTTTTGGGGCCCTTTTGAGCGTCTTGGGGCTCTCTAAGGCTCTTGCCGTCTTAGGGCGATGTGTCGGGGCATCTTGGGTCGTCACTGCCGGTGTTCATGAAAAACGAATGTGGCGAAAATGCACGATTTCCTCATGGAATGTAGCAATTGCTGGCTCTCGGGACCTTCTTGGAGTTCCCCTTGGAGCGCCATTGGCACGTCTTGAAGGCCATTTGAGCCGTTCGAAACGTCTCGTGAGCCGTCTGAAACCACTGAACCCGTCTTTGGGGCGACTCGAGGAATTCGTGGGTCGTCCTGACGACCGTCGAGGCGATTCTAGGCCTCTCGAACACGGGCCATACATTTGTGGTAGGGGTCGTGGCCCCCGAGCCGGGTCCACCGTTATGCCGGAGGTCTGTGCGGCTTCCTGGATCGACGCTGGAACCGCCTCCACGGCGCGCCAGAGGCGCTGCAAGGGAGGCCCGGCGCCGATCCAAGAATTCCACGCGGACCTCCGAAAGTTAGTGGGTCTGCTACGGTTCCCCTTCTCCTCCTCCTCCTCCTCCTCCTCATCCTCCTCCTCCTCCTCCTCCTCCTCCTCCACTTCCTCCTCCTCCTCCTCCTCCTCCTCCTCCTCCTCCTCCTCCTCTTCCTCCTCATGTCTCACCCCTCACCCCTCACTCCTCGCTCCTCGCTCCTCACTCCTCACTCCTCACACATCACTCCCCTCACTCCTCACTCCTCACTCCTCGCTCCTCACTCCTCACTCCTTACACATCACTCCCCTCACTCCTCACTCCTCACTCCTCGCTCCTCATTTCTCACTCTCATCACTTCTCACTCTTCACTCCTTACTCCTCACACCTCACTCCTCACTCCCCTCACTCCTCACTCCTCACTCCTTACTCCTCACTCCTCCCTCCTCACTACTCACTCCTGCTCCTCCTCCTCCTCCACCTCCTCGTTCTCCTCCTCCTCATGCTCCTGCTCCTGCTACTCCTCCTCCTCCTCCACCTCCTCCTCCTCCTTCTCCTCCTCCTCTCTCCTCCTCACTCCTCCTCACTCCTCCTCACTCCTCCTCACTCCCACTCCCGCGAGACCCCAACCAAAAGACCACCAACTACAAGACGGAACTCGGAGCTCGAATCGCCCAACCAGAAGACGGCCGGCGCGGAGCCCCCGCGGGCGGCGCCCCGCGCGCGCGAGCGCGGGCGCGCCCTGGTTCAGCCAGTCCGTCTCCTTCAGCAGGCCGCAGTGGCCGCTCATGGGCGCGGAGACGCTGGTCTGCCCCGACAGGTCGTCGAGGTACCTGCTGGCGGCGACTTCCCTCCCTGCCGACGGCGTTCGCTCGGGGGCAACTTCAAGCTTGGAGGTGTGAGGTTCAAGGCTCTCGCGCAGTTCGTCGGCTCCTGGCGGTTCTCCAGCCCCTGGGGAGCCTTCCAGCAGCCGCGCCTCGCCGAGGGGCGTCTGGAAGGGCGCCAGAATCGTACCGAACGGGCCGAAGCCAGGAGGTCTTTTGATTGGGTCCTCGCTGGGGTGGGTGTGAGGAGGAGTGAGGAGGAGTGAGGAGGAGGAGGAGGAGCAGCAGCAGCAGCAGCAGCAGCAGCAGGAGGAGGCAATTCCAAGGGGGGGGCGCATCCGCCACCAGGCGCCCGGTCATCGCCGAGAGGGGCCCCATAGGCCACCCCGCCCGGGAGCGCATGCGCTGTCGGGGGCCGAATCGCCGATCCAACCGCGATGTGTCCCAGATTCCAGCTTGCTGGTTCGTCCCCCTGAGCCTGTCCCCCCCGAGGAGGGGGAGGAGGAAGAGGAGGAGAAGGAGGAGGAGAAGGAGAAAGAAGAGGAGGAGGAGGAGGAGGAGGAGGAGGAGAGGAAGCAGGAGGAGGAGAAAAAAAGAGGAGGAGGAGGAAGAAGAAGAGGAGAAGGAGGAAGAGGAGGAAGAAGAGGAGGAGGAAGAGGAGTGAGAAGGAGGAGCAGGAGGAGGAGCGAGGAGGAAGAGGACTAGGCGAGCGGGGCGGCCATCCGCACTGTTTGGAGCACCTTTCTGCAGCTGCTTGCTTACCGCCGGCGTTCGAGGGCGCACCGCGAACGGCGCCGACGCGCTGCGCAGGGACGCGCCAGATCACCCCAGGCTCACAGAGGGGAAGCTTCCTACGGCAGGTCCGTGTCGTGCCGACTTCGGCGTTGGTCTCTGACACCGCGGGGATCGTCCAAACTTGAGGGATCGGCCGTTTCCTAAGCGTCAGATCGTTCAACATCAAGCGATTCTGGGCCGCGAGAAGCGTTCAACACTGAACGCCGCGGCCGGCGGCGGGGTCGCCGCTGGTCGACACGACGCGAACCTACCGTACGACGTCTGCCATACTAGACGGCACGAGTTATGACACGAAAACCAGGAGGCAACGGCGAGGCGAGGAGGGGTAGGCTCCGGGGGGCGAGTGCCTCCCCAGGACTGCGCGGACTTGTGATCAGGGGCCCATCGCCGATCTGTCGGCCACACATCGCCGATGCAAGAGCTTGAGGTTTCCCTTCGTGAGCTGGTCCCCCCACACCCTTGTCCCTCATTTCGCTCCCCAAGACTTTGCCTGGGATTGCCAGCAGCTTCTGCCCTGCCGCGGCCATCGAAGCGGTGGCCAGCGCACCGCGTGCCGTACCATGGCAGGCGTCGTTGGCAGATTCCCCTCCGTGATCCTGCGGTGATCTAGCGCGTCCCTGCGCAACGCGTCGGCACCGTTCTCGATGCGCCCTCGACTGCCGCTGGTCAGGACGAAGACGCAAAAAACGGCCCCCCTGTCCTGAGGGGCAACGAGAAGGGCGGGGAGAAGCCAGCTCAGGGGGAGGAACCATCAAGCTGGAATCTGGGACGCATCGCCGTTGGCTCGGCGATTCGGCCCCCGACAGCGCATGCGCACCCCGGCGGGGAGGCCTATGGGGCCCTCTCGGCGATGACCGGGCGCTTGGCGGCCGACGCCTGCCCCCCTCAGCCTCCCCCCCCCTCGAACTTGCCTCCCTGCTGTCGAGACTCGGCGCTCTGGCGGCCGCCCGACACGACTCTGGCGCCCCGGACGCCCCATCGGAGAGGCGCAGCTGCTGAAGGGCCTCCTCTGGGGCTGGAGAGAGTGCACGAGAGCCTTGAACTCCACATCTCCAAGCCTGACGTTGCCCCCCCAGATTGGGGAAACCAGAAGGTACCGATACCGCTACTCCACGGGCCTCTCCTGGGGTGCGTTCTGACCAGAATTTCGAGGCGAATCCAACGGTGGCGGCGAGGGCCTCCCAGGACGCCCAAAAAGGGGAAAACCAGCTGAGGGTAGCGGTATAAGTACCTTTTCCCCCTCAGACACATAACCCCCCTGACGTTGCCCCTCACGCCCCCCCCCCGGCCGCGGTAGCGCCTGCGCGCGCCAAGCACCGTCCACGGCACATTGATCATCGCGCCGCCGCCAGCGAAGAAGGCGAAAGCCAGAGTCTGCGCGGGCG